GAATGTACAGATCATCAGGGTGTGAACTGGGAGTTCAAAATGAGTAGGATGTAAAATACTTCCATCTGGTTGCGAGAACTATCTTATGCCAAGGAGATCTTCTCTGGAGATCAAAATCACCAACGCTGTTCACTTTGTGTTCATAATTCTCTCTGTATTTGTTAAGTGCTGGGTACAGAGTGATTTTGAACATCAAGAACCACTTCATAGATAAATTGGCACCCTGTATCCAGGTGGTTAACTGATGGTTATCACTGTACTTGAAACTACAAAACTTAATTTTCCACAATATTAACAAGTTGATTCTAAATCCTGTCTCTCACAAGTAAGACGTTGCAGGAGCAGTTGCAATAAAGCCAAGGGAACTATGTGACTAGTGCTTACTATTGTCAATGAGGAGTTAATACCATGCCCTCAAATTAAGAATTACCTACATAACTTTTACTGAGTTAAGGGGGGAGTCACATGCCTAAATTCTCGTGTTTCAGACTATACATGCAGAACTGACTGTTTTCAAGAAGCAGATAGTGGAAAAGACAGAAGACATTTGTGTCATTGACAACTGCCTACATTTCAATTTTTTTTCTGTAATACCAGCAGAAATGACAACACTCAGGATGAGCAGGACACTCACAAGCCCACAGGACAAGGGAAGGACATACACCACCAATATTATGATGAATGTAGTCTGAATAGCTACTGCAATTTCAGTTAATGCATTTAACAAACAGTATGTCTATTGTTACTGTTAACTAGACAATGTTATTGAAATAATTGTCTGGATTATGACAATTAATTAATAATCAAACACTGTTTACCAAATGAAATATATGTGGCCTCAGTAGCTGCTCCATACGCTGTTCCGTGATCCCCGTGAGTCACCCTGGTCAGTTTTAGACTGAATTACTCTAACAAATATTCCCCATGTTTCAGATGTTATGACATCGAAGCAAGGGTATTTTGCATGAAGGCCTCCTTTACTAAGCCAGAATGTGCAAAATACAATTCCACTGAAACACATTATCATTACCATTTAATGAAACGAGCATGATGAAATCCCTTTGTGCTCCACGTGTACTTCTTGGAATCATCAGCTAGTCTGAGGACCCACAAATGGGAACATATCACATCACAGTTTTGTATGCCATTCTGTCAGATCAGGCTATAATTCAAAAACCTGATCCACACCTGATGGACAAACACCTGCGTAAATTTCTAGCTCATTGAATTTATTAGAGATGCTCAGAAGCAACAGGGCAGCTGAAGGACCTAAGATAATATCAGACATAGATCAGTAAGGCTCAGTTTTCAGCTAAGGGCCAGACATGTAGCTCTTTGTTCTCCTCTGCTTGCCAAAGCCTGAAACCAACACTGCATGGATTCAGGTTCCCACTCTCATGTAGCATTCACATAATCTGCACCTGAAATATAAATTTGACCCAATTCTATCAAAACCTGATGTTTTGGGAAGGCATATCATGGTGTATGTTCTCTTCACATTTTTTTTTAAGTAAATGAATGCAGGAGTGAAGACAGCGTATTCAGAGAAATACAAATCATGAACAAGCTTATTGAGAGAGATTATTCTGGATGATGCCTCTGCATTTTGAACATTCTCTCACATGAAAATTTACAAAGCTCCCTGAGATGTTAGTTTCCTGAGCTCTGTCTTTAAACCAGTACCAAACACATTAGAGGCAGGCAACTCTGGTCACAAGTCAATAATGACCTATAGGTGACCTTGGGTGGCTATCACAGGACAGCAAGCAGCTGAATAGGTAGTCTCAGCCTGGAAGTGGGTAAGCATACTGTGTGAGTCTCAGAATCAGAAACAAATGAATGGAAAGGAAGCTGGTTAGTTTAGAGACCTTCCAACGCAATTCTCACAATTGCTAATGTGGATAGCCTGTTTTTCAGGCAAGTGACAGAACTCTAGATGCACAGATTATTCACGCCTTCCTTCATTGAGGTCTAATACCCTAAAACTAAGCCCAAAATCATCTTGAAAATAAGAAAAGAAGTTTCAAAACATTAGTCTGGAGTATTTTACATGCAAACAAAAATCACTGTCACAAAAACCACAGATTTTGATAAGATACTAGTGACACAATGCAGTAAAATGGTGGGAAATATCAAAAGAGGAGCTAATAGAATAGAGCCTTTCAAGAACTGTAATTAGTTGGGGGTTTTTTTAAAGGTAGAAATGCCTTTTTTCTGTGGTAAAGGTAGTGTGGCCATTATGAGCATGTCAATGTAAACACCAGAAAGGAGAAACCAGCATCGAAACAAGATTGTAAGTGAGGATATAATAAAACCCACTCCTTCCTACACACACATGTGCATTCATGCCTGACTGCTTTTAATTTAAATATAAGGAAAGAATGGCAGTCCTCTCAGAAGAGAGCAACAGAAAAGGAAGATGCTTTCCTGATGCCATGTGACTGTTTACAGATTTCATCTTTTCTCTTCCACACTGAAATAAGTCTGAGAGGCTGAAGACCACCAATGAACAAACTGAGTAGCCCGTGCCTGTCAGACTGTCTGTGCTCTGCTCTGCTCATGCTGACCCTATTAGATCTGACTATTAAAAAGCAGCATTGGGCCATGTCAGCTCTTGGGTGGGAGGCTGCCAAGGCACACATCCATGCTGCTGGCTTTTCAAAGATTGATAATGATCCTGTGCAATACTTTTTTCCTTTACCCCAGGCAGTTCTGCACGGGGGTCAGTTCTGGGGTGCTACATACTCGTCTTGTAGCATGAGGTATAAAACTAAATTCCTTATTGCCGTGGCCATTAAAAATCCCACAGCACTATTTACAAGTATGGGAGCAATTACAGCAGATTGGAAGTGGCCAAACTGGTAATTCTCTTCTGCCAACATAAATCCTCCCACTGTAAGTGAATGTGGATTTTTTTTTTTTTAATCTCACAGCATAAACTTTAAAGTGTTGCTGTAAAATGCTCATTAGCCAACAAATCTCTTTATGGAGTAGCACTTGCTTTACAATAGAGGGTGAAAGGAAGTTTGCTCTATGGCTTGTGAGACAGTGAGGATACTTTAGGATAAAAGCTCCAACATATCAGTTTGCTAGAGCAGAAAATTAATAGAGATAGATTGGTTTTTAGTGGCATTTGAAACTATCTGCCTCTTCATCTACCAGCAGCTCTCCTCTCAGACTGCCTGTACTATTGTACTTTATTCTCTGACACATGGCTACAAGATGACACCTTGTATTTTTAAGCTTTTCCTGTTAATTAAAAGACTTGTCCTCCCAAAAAGCTGGGAAGAAGCTGACAGTTTCAGTTTAAAATTTTACTTATGTTAACATAGCTTCCAGGTGCAGAGGTTTTTTCCTCTACTTTGCTTTGAACCCAGCAACTGAATTTCTTTGAATTTCTCTGTGTGTTAGTTTGGACTAATGACAATTCCAGACAACCGAAAGAGAATTGTCATTACGAAATCACTCCTACACAAATCTGTAAAAGACTATGATATAACAATTCATGGGTTATCACTGCCTGATCTGCTTTACAATTAAAGAGAAAATAAACATATATATTCCTTAGCACTGGATAATGAAAGCTGCATCCCTTTAGCTTGCACGTCCTGCCACCATTTAAGCCCCCTTTACTTCTTCCTGTAGGATGGAAAGATGAGTCAAGTCACAATTGCATCCCACAAGTACCAAATCCTGTGCTTACACCAGCTTGAATCCACAATTTTAAGTTCATAATGTGAAGCTGAATGGTACTGCTCCCTCACAGTAAGACAATGGATGTTGGGCAGGAAATGAACTCTAAGACAGAGATGCAGGTTTGGCAGAGCACTCCTTGTTGAGCTTAGTGTCAGATTTCCTGTATAAAAATGGAATTAAGCAGACTCCTGTCTGAGAAATATCAGCTTCAGAGAAACCCTAGTAAGTGAAGGTCTTATAGAGTTTATCAGTACTTCATGCTATGTAAAGTTGTTTATGAGGTTTCCATGCATATGCTTATCCCCACAGTTACTGTGTACTGACAGTCCCACACCACTGTCATCTACCTGGGTACTTTCACCACATATTAGTATTTTACAGCTTCCCTATAGATCCCACTGAACTTCATCAAGCCAGGATTCCAATTTACACCCACAACTTCATTTTGCTTTACCTGAGATAGAAAAATGGATTTCTATCATTTGGCTTAAAGAAATAAGTGCTGTTCTTTTGTGTGGTTTAGCTTATGGAAATAATTGCATCTCCTTCAGAAAGAGGACAAAGAGCATTCAGCAAAAAAAAGCACTTTGAAACTGTATTGCCTGTTTTTGAGTTATTGTTTGAGATCCTGATGCAAAAGCAAGTGAATTCAATAGCTTCTCAGTTTCAACAGTCTTTGGATCAGGTTCTAAAGGGTTATTCTTTATGTTCCTTCTAATACTGTATCATGCTCAGACTGCAGAGCCAAAAAAAGGAAAAAAGTTTATGCATTTAGCTTTGAATTTAGAATGGGTTCTTAATTAGCATTCACTTTCAGCTTAATTCCAGTCACAGGAAGTTTTTATCCTTAGTAGGGGAGCAAAAGGTAAGCTGAGCCATATCACTTCTCTAAATCTTATCCATACATCTTTCTGATAGAAGAACCAGCGCATGCACTGCCATCAGTACGTGTAATTAGTGGCAGTATGCACTAAAGAGGTATATCCTGACGAGATGCTGCAAAAATATGTGAACCAGTTATCCGTATACAGGAGCACATGAAAAGATACTACAGAGTGGCATGATTATATCCGGGTGCCTCTGCTATAAAAAGCATTTGTATTACCCTTACTTCTCTGAATAAATTCAAATGACAGCCCCATTTCATTTCTTCATTCAGTCTGGAGGCCAGATGGCATTAGAATCATTTACTTCACCTTGTTGTGCTTAATTACTACAATCAACACACTATTTTCCAAATTAATCATAACAAAGTAATTTCATTAGTAACACAGCAGGCTGTTGAATTATTAGCATCATAACAGTTTGCAAACAATTAAACTTTATTTGAACCTTAAAAATTTGCAGAGTAGAACATTATTATAAGATCTAATGGCAGTACCATACAAATCCAGAACACAGCAAATAATCAAGTAAAACGCTGTACAATGTGAGAGTTACAATCACATTTTAAAAATCTGCTCTCTCACCGTTTACAGAAAGGCAAGCACAGTCTAAGTGAACAAAGAAAATTAAGTAATTAGCATCTTCTGCCTGGTTTTGTTTAAGTTGTACTAACTGAGATTTTCTTATCCAAAAAAGGTTATGGTATTCATACAGATTTAAAGTAAACCATTCATCCGTGGTCCATTGCTGGTTTATTCTGAGACATTACCAGTGAGTTTCAGGACACCTTTCACGTTTAGAATTTAAGGCAGTTTATTTCCTCACCCCTAGCAATAAGTACTAAGAAGGGGGAAGCCCTAAAAGAGAATTACAGACAAAAGCCACTTGATGTCCCTGGTTGTCACCAGGCAGGCGAGGCAGGGCAGCTCTGCCCCTCATCGCTTGGCTAAGGACTCCCTCTCCTGGAAAAGCGGCAGAAGCGGCGCGGGGCGGCGCGGAGGGGGAAGGGGACAGGGAGGGCACCGGGAGCCGCCTCCGCCGTGCCACGAAAATCTGCTGCCACCCAGCGCCGCGGCCGCGCAGCGCAGCGCAGCGCCCGCCCCGCACCGCCCCGCACCGCGCCGCACCGCGCCCGCAGACAGCGACCTGCCACCGCACCGCCCCGCAGGGAGCTGGGCGAGGCCTTATCCCCTAAAAACTACTCGGTGGTGCTGCTGGTGGGATTCGGAATTCTGTAATTAATAAAAAGCCGTCTCGGTGGGCAGATTTATGGCGCTGCCATGTTAACAAGGGAGAGGGAGCGTTTCCAGCCCCGCTGTTAACGCTTCACATTCTGTACACAATCCACCAGTACGCTTGACAAATTAAAGTAGTAAAAGATCTGAAGACTATAATCTATCATTTTAATGCTTGGCTGATAACACACAGAATCAATTCCAATGACTATCTCTTTAAAAAATTACAACAAAACTCGGTCCCGTTTGACGCCTATTAGAATTCAGTGTACCAGCAAGTACCATACATTAGCTAACACAGAGCACAACATCTTAGTTTACTGAAAGGATCCAAATTCCGACTTCAGCCTGACGTTTCCTTTTAACCCAGCGTCTGCAGGGTCCGCCTGAAGCATAAACAGCACAAGCAACTACACGGGGACCTGCACAGGCTCAGCAACTCACAGGCTGGCCTGACCTGCCTCCTTGGCAGATTAAGGGTCTCACAAATCAACTGTCTGGGACGACCCAAAAAAGTTGATCTTGCATGCTAATAGTAAGGTACATCTCCCAAAGAAGAGTATGTAAAGTATTAACTCTGACTTGCCCAACTACTTCTCCACAAGTGGTAGTATTTTAGTGTACTTTTTTATGTTTCAATCAATGTTTTTGATTATCCACAAAGTTCTGGCTTTGACACAAGAATGCAGGTAGCTGTTGCTAATCCTCACAGGGTGAAGATGAAGATCTCTGTTGCATAACCTACATCAGAATTCCATATATCAGCAAAGTATCCAGATTTGAGTCTGCAAAAGTAAGGTACAGATAAAATATTTCATGCTACCATGGACAAAAATATTTTTACCTGCAATTTAGCTTGTGTTGACTTAGCAAAAATTGTAGGGTTTAATACATTTTCACAAATTTCCATAGAATTATCATGTCCAAGTCAGAATGGTACCAGGGCAGTATTACCACACAGGCCCATTTATAACATCAGCAAAAGAATCAAATCTTCATTGTGTGTCAACAAAATAGTAATTAACAATACAAAACTAAATATATGACAAAAATAAGTCATTGGCTAAAGCATAACTTTAAAGCATCTGGAAAAAGAATACCCCGAAGACTTGAAATATTATACATAAATTTCCCTCAACTTCCTGATACAACTGCACCAGATATACAGCGAGCACAAAAAGGTTGATGCATGCATGAATTGAGTAAGAGTTTACCCTCAAAGCCTTGCGTAATTTTTCTGAATCTGCAGAACAGGAAAAGATAGCAAAATTCCCTGAGAGAACACAAGTACAGCTATACAGAGTGCCGCTAACATGTTAAAAAAGAGCAACAGGCACTATATGGCTGCTTGTGCCCCATATGTTAATTATCATCTATTAATTTCGTGGCAATAAAATTCTATAAAAAGTGCCTGAGAAGACAATTTCCGTAAAGTTATGATCAATTACAGTTTATAATATTTAATATACACGAGGCAGCGATCTGACTACATTCACTGAGACCGCAAAACATGTACAGCAGAATCGTCTTCCAGAGGCTGTGTCTGTAAACTGCAGCTGCACACCACTCTTCATTTCAAGTGCAGATTTCTCCTGATTAGGGAGAGGGAAGTTGAAAGTTCATCATTAGCCAAAAAACCTCAAACATGCATATCAAATCCTGTCCAAATATCCATCCCCTTCCACAGTTTTCTGCACAGACAGATATATACATATTACTAAAGTAACAAAACTAAATAGAAACAACATCACTTTTACTTATTAAAAAATCTGGAAAAAGGAACACAGTTATTAAATATATAATCATTTGCATGCTGTGGTTTAATATTTCATATAGAACCCCAGAAAAAAAAATACTTTAATTGAACCTTCAATATATTTTGCCATAATCTTTATGTTAACAGGACTCCTACAAAGGTTCCAGGAAAGACATACTTATGAAACAGAGAACAAGGGAACATATAAGCCATTACAGAAGATTGGATTAAAATGTACTTACCCAGGCCTCTCAAATATCATACATCTCCATTATGTAGGCTTTAGGCACCAAGCCAATGGTTCCCTTCATTTCTCCTACCCACCAGCCAAATCTATTGTACTCCTAATTGAAAACAATACGCAGTATTAACCTTTAGTCTGATATAAATGCAATAGAGTTTTGTATGCAACTCCTTATGGATGCTTTCTCTTATACACAGTTATAATCATTTCAACTGAAAATTAAAACATTTTATCTTTTTGTTATAGGCATTCACATGCAGTTAGGCAAAGGCAGAAGGTAAATTTTAAAAAGGCCAGGCATACTCAAGAAATTTCTTAATTATGGCCACACTTTTCTAACACCTTCTAAAAATAGCCGACCTCCTTATCCTCTGTTCATCAAAAACATAAAAACCTTGTCTTTGTAACTAAAATCTAATACCACAACATTGACATATAACAATCAACAGGGATTATTTTAGTATCACAAGCTAAACTCTAAGAAACTTACCATCAGCTTCTTTTAAAAACTACTTCACTCAAATGTGAAGAGAACACTATATATCTAATACATAATATCTTTCTATGGACAAAGTCTACTATTGCTTTAGGCTTGCAGAAAATTCTACAGCAGATCTCATATTCCTGACAGATGACTAATGTACTCCTGTTTCAAATATGTTTAGGCTTAGTGAGATAAATATGAAACAAAATGAATTATAACCGTTTAAAGAAATAATATCTTCAAAAAGCAGTACTAAGTAAGAGTATTGTGGTATTGTGGTATATAATTATTGTAAAAATAAAGTAATGTAATACTGATATGTAATTATTGTATATTGTGCCATATAATTTACTTTTTTCCTATGAGATATTTTAAGATCAATTCTAACCATGAATAATAAATTGTAACAGCTGGAATTGCACATACACATATATTGAGCTACCAATGAAGAATTATTAAAACAGAGACCACACTCAAAACTGAATGATTAGTAAGATAGAAATTACTTTGGAACAAATATGCAAAATACAAAATACACAGATATCTCTGATAAGCAGCATCTGCTTCCTGCTATACTGCTCTTCTGATGAGAAGAGGAAAAGGCTCTAGAATTTGAACTACTGGTCCTACTGAGATGAAGCTACTATTTTGAACTGTAGGTAAAGTTTTTTGGTTATAAATAGCCAAGTGGAGCTTAAGGGTTAATGGCGTTTCATTAGAGCCCAAGCTATAACGATTTGCTGCTGGCATATTTTGCCTGGTCAAGAGTTCTCTGGGGTCCTATGAGGTGCTTAGTGTACTCAGCTCTCTCTGTGCTTAACTATGACGGCCTGCTTTCATGTCGGCTTTTTTTCTTTTCCTTTTTTTTTTTAATGCTTGCATGCAAGCCACACACACTTCTGTATTTTCTAATTGTGGAAGGCTGAACATTAGTCTTCAATTAAACATTTTCTTCCTTCGCTTAACAATGAATTGGTAATGTAAAAGATTCTATCCTACTATGCATGAAATATTGCAGTAAGTGTGATTTAAAGGAAATCCACTTAAAAAACAGCAGGAAAACCTACATTTATTATGTGAACATGCAAACAAGAAAGCTGCAAAAATAATTCCACCTTCTTCCCCCTTCCACTGCAAAGCAGACTCCTGGGGATGGGTTTGGTCTTGAAAGTCTAGAGGTATCTGAACCTGATCTTTAGTACACACTGCTCTCCACAGAAGTTAATAACCTTTCCCATGAGGCTTCACATTACACCCCAAATCCTTAAAGGCGAAACAATACCCTGACACTGAGGTTTACAATCTTCCAGATCAGGCTGTTTAAAAATCTATACTTTATCTCACAATACACTGTTTAAATATACAAACTAGATTTCAAGACTGAAGTGGGAAATTGCTGAAAGGAGCAGCACTCACGTATACTACTGGAATCTCAGCAATAAATCTCTCCAAGGGAAAGCAACAAAAGATTTTAAGCTGCTACACAGAATTCGCACAGTGACTGACAAGAGTGATTAAGCAAGTTTTGCTAGACATCAGCCAAAAAAACAAACAATACATGAAATGAGGGAAGTGGCTCAGTTAAGCAGTCATTAAACTGCATATGACAAATGGCACAGAAAAAGCTTGTGGATTACATTATCCATTGAAAATGTTCCACTTAGCAACACTACATGGACTTAGAAACAATTGTTTTTAAAGAAACAATTCAGATAGCTCAAATTAAAATTAAAAGCATGCTGCTGTTTTGAAAACTTTCTGGGTTTTGCTACTTACTAACACACCACTTACTGCTCTGGCATGAAGCTAACTGAGAAGATGAAATGAATGTTGATGTAACAGACTAGTAAACTAATTTAAGGATTCACTGCAACCGTTATACCATACAGACAATATTGCAACACAGAAGCCTTTACTTTACATTACTATTCTTTGTATGGGTCTCAAGAGCAACATGAATCCCAATTAAACTATCTGCACTCTGTAGAAGTCTGAACAAAAATATAATGCAGATACCTGGCTACCAAGAACATAAAACCTTAATATCTGATTTTAGAAAAAAATTAGATAGCACTCCCTTTTAAACTGATTAAAGTACAGACATTTTTCTTTAAAACTTTTAACCCCTCCTTCCTATCCTCAGTAACATGAAAGAGTGCTTAACTAGTGAGGCAGATAAGCAGTCCCCCTAGTCCTTTCTTGAAGTCACACATAAAATCCAAATTGATGTATTGTTTCTATTAATGCTATAAATTATAAACTCCTTGGCAGCAATACAATTTCATTAAGACACTGCTTTTGTGAGGTCCATATGTCTATCACTGCTGCTTAAGATGTGTAGAATAAAACTCTGCAGCTCATATTTGCAGAAAATAAGGATTAATATAAAGAAGGATATGAATACAGTTAGGGCTTTTATATGAATAAAAAAGTTGGGAAACACTGTGCTTTTGCAAGCATCAGCTTCAGATCTCAGGTACCACTGGGTTTACCATCTGGTATCCCTCACTGCATTCAGCTCTTAATATCACTGCTAACATAGGCAAGCAACTATACTTCAGAAGGACTGATAAAATAATGAAGAGTCCTTTAATCTACAGGAAACCATTGTAGTCAATTTATAAGAAATATTGCATCCCTTTGTAGGATGTGTAATTATTTTCTATTAATCATGTGCTATAAAGCTACATTATGTGGTTATTCTGTTATCACTAGAAAGAGGCCTGCAGTCAGCTCCTGACAATGTTAGGTAATTACTAACACAAAGCTTCTTTCTCCTTATGTAGAAACGCTATCAAGATCCAGAGGTGCTGTGATGCTCGCTGTATGAAAATAACTCTCCAAAGAAATTCAATAACTGCAAAATGAATTGCTCCAAGGCAAATAGAGGGATAGGGAGAGGGGGGCAGGGCCAGATCCAGCTGCCCTGCAATGAGGAGAATGCACAAGTGTGCGGCCACGCTCTGCCATGTGACAGGGAGCACATTTGCCATACCAGGCAATGTTAGCAGGGCTGGGGGGAGGAGGGGGCCACCACAACCCCCCCACCCCAGAAGACAAGCACCAGGGCAATGGAATATATTATGCCAAATAATATGAAAATGACAAAATGCCTTCTAAGCTACTTCTGCATTTCCACTATCAATAGAGTGGACTGTTTTTTTCCCCCAGTAGAAATTTATTAACCAAAGTGAAGTAATTTCACAGGGCAGGAAGGAACAGGTTATGATTTAACATTTAATATGCTGGCAAAACACTCTGTACAGCATGTTAGATAGCGGGGGGTGAAAGTCCCATTAGGGTTTACAGGCTCCTTAAATGCTCTCAACTGAGCACACTGTGAGCAAATGCTTCTCCCTGTCCCCATCCCACCCATTTCACTGCACTGATGTCTGGGTACCCATGACTTCATGAGACACTGATCATAAAACCTTTTGTACTTGGGGAAAAAGCAAGAGTAAGCAATACACTCCCTGTTTTCTACAGATCTCATTTAAATCCAATATTTTAGTTGTCTGCAGAAGAGAATTTTGATATTTTGATATACAAAAAGAGAAAAATTTTATACTTGAGGATTTCCAAAGCAGTTGCTATCTTTCGAACAGTTCCTCTGCCTGTATGAGATTCTCCAGATGCTTTGCACCATATAAACTTCTACTGACTTCAGCAAAAGTTGAGAACATCAAGTTCTTGTGCAATTAGTCTCCATTGTTGAATACATATGGTACGTTTTTTCATGTTTGTGGGGTAGGTTTTTTTATTTGTTTGGTTTTAAAAAAGAGTTGCTGAAAATTAAAATTTTGTTTCAATGCCTTGAAGAAAAAAAATGGAGTTGTATTTAAAAAAAACTACAACCAAAGTATGTGAATTCAAGATTTTTGTCCTTCCTTCTTCTAGTGGCACTGTGAGTAATACTAACTCATGGGCTGAATACCTGCTAGCTTTAAAACTGAAATGCAAAATGTATCTTTAGCCTTCTTTGGGGTTAAAATAAGTAACATCTACTATCAAGCTAAATATGTGTCAGAAGCAGGGATAAATTTTTTGCAAAGAACATTCCAGGGTGCAATTTTAGCAAGATAATATTTTAAAACATCTTCGATTCATCCAGGAGATTCATACTAGCTAAAAAGTTTTAGAACTTCCTTTGGTGTAATTGTTGAATGATACACTGTCAACCAGGGAGCAGTTTTGGCACTGAACAGCGTTTTCTCTAAAAGCAGAGAATGACAAATGTCTTAAATAACTGAATGAGACTTCTTCACAGGTAGTAGAGTTGTTTTAAGACAGCAATAAAATGGTCATCTTTAAAAATATAAGCACTAAATTTATTGTATGGTTGCGTTATTAGGTTTTATTTCCCACAATGACATGAGAGAAAATATACAGCAATTAAAGATTTCCAATATAAATCACAGTAAGCAGACTGAGTTCTGAACCAAAACTGCCCCCAGAAAACACCCTGGAACAATAGGAAGGCCATTTTATTTTACAGTAGATGACATGTGGCCAACTTTTCTTCTAATCTGATAGGTAAAAGCTTACATCTTATCAGTATGCAAAGCAACAGAGCTAGAATCACTTGGCATTAGTTCTAACCAAACTTCTGTTTAAAGGCTTTCACTATTGTCTTTAGACATATACTTGTTGTTCTCCCACCCCCACCCGTAAAGATCAAAACTAAGCAAGCCAGGAAACGGGTAATGTACAGCTGAATATTGCATTTTAGTTTTGATCAGAAGCATCCCACTGAAGTGAATCTCCCAAAGCTCCCATCTTCCCCCCACTGGCTCCCTTTGCAGAGCCTCCGAGCACACACACTACATTTATTTCAGATGAAGCTAAAATGGAAGATGCACTTGAACATGCTCCAGCCATTAATGTGTTCTCATTCCACAAGACCAGGTTAGACCACTTCGGACCTCCAACAGCTTTGGAAAAGCGTGGTGTGGACACCAGGGCTCAAGCACTAAGTGTTTCCTCTGCAAATCTGCTCCTAGTGGTACTCCCTGTTTGCTAGAGGAGCCATAGGCAGTATGGCCATGGAATAGAAATTATGGATCTCAGTATGACCAGCCAGAAGTCAACCTGAAAAAATAAAACACTCAGGATTTCAGTATGTCTTTCATATATTTTAGAAAAAATACTGAATAAATACATTTTATTAAGATTATACAGATAGTGAACAAAACGTTCACAGTGATTCTGAAACCACTGCATGGTTAAGTTGCGCCTTTATTTCATAAGCAGTAACCTGAGCTGTGGAGTTTCTTTGGGTTTTTACTAGGCAAAAAATACAGGTTGAGATGTGAGCATTTTAACAGTTATTGTATTGAAAGAACAAAAATCTGCCACACATGAAACCTACAACCACTGAATGTAGGGTAATCTAAACACCACGTTAATACTCTACTTTCATAAAAAATTCTGGAGCAAAAGGTTTTCATAGATGAATCATAAATACCAGAGTGAGCAGCACTGGTGTGCAATGAAATAATAACAAGGAGAAAAAAAAACAAATAATAACAGTTTAAGATATAATTTCTGATTTTGAAGTATTTCTTATTTTAATAAAAATATAAATAAGAAGTATATTAAATTAGTTTAATGTTAAGAAATGTCAGTAATTGTACTAAGCAGGTGTCCACTAACATATTAAGGTAAATTTGCACTATTACTTGCATTTTGCTGATGAGACTATGGAACTTCGTAACACAAAACACACACCTAAAGTAAATGAACAAGTAATGCAAGTGTTGCACTTGCTTAAATTGTGCACACAAAACTTAAGGGGGAAAAAACAGAACTACCTCCATCCATAGTTATCATTGTTTCTGGAAATTGATTTCTTGAGTAGAGCTATAGAAGATTTATAAAAATGATTGCTATACTATGGTCTGTTTTCCCATTTATCACATGGGCTTGAAAGCAAAGGCAAGCCCATAAATGAGCAAGAGTTAAGAGCAATCATCCTTTTAGAAAACAGGACTACAAAGTATTGCATTTCTAACAGTCAATATTAACTAAGAAATGTTATTAACAATTCTCTTTATCAGTACAGATATATTTTTTAATTACAAACTGGAATAAGGGTATATAGCTTTCTGAAAGTTCACATCATTCATAGCATGAGTGATAAAAGCCACTTGAATATTCAAGAATAAATTAAAATACTAGTAATAGTATGGGTATATCTGTAACAATACATTGATCAATTAATCTGAAATGTTAACTATGTCTTTAAATAAAGTTAACAAGTAGTATTGTGATAGCTCTGTTAATTCTGCTCAGATTGAAAACTCAGCTTTTGAGGGAAACTTGATAGAAAAACCTAGAAAGAAGTTGTGCGGCTCTGAGGGGTTTTGTAAAAGCCCACAGGACTGCTGCCACACAAAAGTCACAACTGACATAAATATTTAGAAAATAGCTTAAATAGTTTTTGAATACACCTCTAAAACAAGAAAAACATGCTTTTCCACAGTTACTGCACTAGTCGGGCATAGGTATCTCTCTTGTCAGAGTATGAGCTCATGCTTGTTGCAATAACACTGAGTTTTGGTGCTCATTTAAAAGCAAATTCTGGGGATTTGTCTTTGCATAATAGTTAGCTATTTTAGGAAGTAAACACTGCCAAACTGAAACTATGCTCATTTGTCTAAAAGACATTTACCTAGAAACTTACATGTAACATATTGCTCCTATTGCTTTATTTAAATTCTATAAATGCCCAAATTTGCTGAACTGGTTCATAATTACTCTGCTATACTAATGATCTCATTTCATGGAAACAAATAGTGCTTTCCCCCTAATTTCTATACAGGTATGAGAAAAGCTGGTAAAAATATATTGCTTTGGCATAACTGTTGCTGGGAGAGATGAATATCTATCTTATCACGTTCATCAGAGCAGGCTATACCATTTATATTTCACTGTAAAACAAAGAACTATTACATGTTGCACAAATATGCTCGATATTTTGTTAATGCTTCACCCTTCCTACTATAACATGGCTATACCCGTACTTACTTCCTTATCAGCAAAATGTGATTTTCAAGAGTAATGTTCCTGGCTGACATATGATAGAAAGGCAATAAAGCCACAGCTAGGTTCAGCTGAAGCTGAATTTATGACACCATTTTGGATGCATACACATCGGCCCCCTGTCAGTACCTGCATCTCTCATTTTCAACCACTAGATGGTGTGAAAAAATAAAAAAATTGCCTAGGATTCCTGCCGACTGCCACAAAATCCAAGTATTAATGTAGTGGATTAGGAAATATTTTAGAAGAAAAGTCCTGACCCACTTTGGGATGGTTAGGCTCACTTTTCCTTTGGTTATATTTTCACTTACCAGACAAAGAGCTCATAAACGATTAGACCTTGAAACTGAATCGAGTGGAGGGTTAAGATAGATAGTTCTCTGGCACTTTCCCCTCCAAGGACCCTAAATTCCAAGCTGACAGTACTGGCCAACACTCATTTTTCTGAAAAAGCTGTAACAATCTTTAAGCGAAACAGGGCTGAATTTTCTGGGCTGTATTTTGGAGCAGAAATCATTCCCACAGAGAGAGGCTGTATATATCTGGAGCAGCAGCAAGCCTGCTTCAAGGACCGATTACGGATTAATCACGGCATGGCAACAGGACTGTTGATATACAGAGGACAGCTTAAGCTACTGTTTTTCTATTTTGCTCCATTTTTTAAATTAAATTTCTCACTCTTTTGGGGAAGGAGTAGCAAACAATTTTTTTCACCTACAAACTGAAGATTAAGATTTTATAGTTGCCATAATGTACCCGAAGAGCACAACCCACAAAGAGGCCAAGTGGATACAGTGGAATCCATTCACTCATGGGCTTTTTGGGGGGAGCAAGAGGGGGAAGAGGTGGTTATTTTAAATTAGTCCAATTCTTCACTGCTGAATAACTGCCTGAAAGTTTGCCCAGTCCACAAGCTTTATTCAGCCTTTAGTAATGCAATTCAGTTATTAGTTTAAGTGACAATGAAATACCTCAAAAGACATACGTGGTCAAATTAATATTAGTAATACATCTTCTATATTTTTATATAGGACTATCCTTCTATCCATAAATCTTCAATTTATTTAAAACACAAGCTGCTACATTTATTATCCAGAAATGTAGTTAAAGGTATCACAGAAGATTTAAAAGAATTGTGACAAAACTTAATTTGAAACTAGGACAAACAGATGTCTTTATCTTTCATGCGCCTACTTGTGTATTTCAGTGACCTACAATGTTTTTTTACTAATTACACTGAATGGCTGTTAGATAGACACATTTTTTTAAAGTAGGTTTTTTTTTTAATTGAGAACTTTAAAAGCTCAGCTTTTTTTTTCCTAATATGTAGGGAAAATAGAATTTTTCTCTGATTAATTATTCAGAAGTAGACTTCAACAGACCATGAGACATATATTTTAACAGAGGTTTTGTTTGTGTTGGAGAGGTCAAGGAAAAATGTGAAAATTAACCAATATTAACATAAAACAAAACTTCATGCCTTTACTGTTTAGTGCTAATTCAGATGAGAGAAATTATATTTCTCATTTGCTTTGCAAACAGAAATGTAATAAAAAAATGCCCAAATCTGTCAGAGCAAACAAATTTGGAATCTGAGCTCTCAGAACAATAACAATATAGATATAAAGATGAAAGCAGAGCTCAAAAAAACAAACCATCTTCTGTAGCAAGATCCCAAAAAAGTCAGAATCAGCAGAGTCAGGAATATAAAACAGGAAACAAAAAACATAACATGCAAGATAACTTAAAATTCTACAAGGTTAACTTCTACAAGCAGAAAGTACATTGTCTTCTGTTAAGTCAGTTAACAAATGGTAGCCAAGATCTAACATGTAAATAAACATGCTTTAAAGTTAATTCCTGTTACATGGCTATGTTTTAATTGTGATTATAGTTCATTTGACAAAATAATTAATTGCAGTGACTATCTGATTGCAGACAAAGGATTTGAAAGGGAGTGCCAATTTCCCCCCACAGAACTGTGGGAATGTGCCCTTGTGCCATGGCTCTCTTTTTACAACCATGTAGCCCCAGTAGTGTCTCATACCTTGCTGATAATGTAGATAACGTCACCACGTTTAAATGTCAACTCATCACTTTCATCTCCTGTGCAGTCCCACAAACCTTGATAGAAATTGGCATAATCGGTATTTTCGCTATCTGCAAAGAAAACAGCACCTAATTATAAAACAACCAAGACTGAGGATAACTAAAATTGCTCTTTAAATCTTCAAACAGTACAAAGCAATTTATTAGCACACATTTCTTATTCCTCTTTTCAGAAACAGCTCCTTCCTGCCATGAAAGCAAGTGAAAAATAAGTTTAATGTGCAAGCCCTTCACTGGCAAGTTGCATCACTGAGAGACATGTAGCTACAGGTTTTCAAAGCATTTTTCAAAGCTGCAACTTAAAGCAGCTATTTTTCCTCTGCCAGTATATTTCTAGCAAGCCATATATGTATCCCAACTTGAAACTGATAAAACTGCTAGAATATAATTAATAATGATCAGTGAAAGGAAGCTAAAGCATTTTGTGATACACTCCCCCTCTCTCTCCTGTTCCAACAAAATTAAATAGCTTCTCTGAGAACCTCTGAGATAATCCTTGATTCTTCCTTCTGAAATATTGGAGAACTTGGAAACTGTTGCTGAAGCTGCATTTCAAAAATATTTGTGTCAGCTCCAGTTTAGGACATTAAGCCCTGGCTAAACGTGCAACTACACTACAGTCATAAACTCATCCTTCTAACAGCATAAGCACAATGGATGTGCTGTGTTCAAGCTGCCATACAGACCATTAACTGATTGATTATTTAGCACTCTTTGCTCTGTAATACGGCAATAACACAGTAATAAATGCTTTGTCATACATTTACAATACAGAGTACATCTATTGAAACACAGTGCTCACACACAGTTAAATACACTGGGTGCTTCTGTTGCACTGCAAACTATTTCCTGTTTTTAATTCCATGAGAATGGAGTGTGATGAGTTAATGCAAAAAGAATGTAAGCAATACCACTAGGATGACCGGTTACATTATGTATACACTAACCAGACAGAATGTATATGTACTAATAATTTACATCACTGGAAAGCTATCTTCTAATTCTGATAACATAAATATCACTGAACTGGCTGGATCAAGGCTGTCATCTTAGTTTTGTTATATGATCCTTGAACTGCAGGCTTGCTGGTTACTCCAACATACACCAGTTACATTTGCATGTCATCAGCACTCTACACCATTATTTATAGTTTATAATTTAACCATGATTGGTTCATTTTATTACCAAAAAAATCCTGCTAAAATATCAAGTATCAGGAGATAGAAAGCATCACACTATAAAAGAATAGTGGTATTCAACTTGTGTTCTTCTCTATTCTGGCAAATACTTAAAACTGAATTTTAATATTCTCTGTATGAGAGAGAAGAGCTTGTTTTTTTCTTTCTCCATTTCAGCCTGTGTTCTGTGCTATCTTGTTTGGGTGGCAATACTGTCATAAGGCTAAATATTCACAACCTTCAATTCAAAGCTGCTATGCCAGTTATCCACCATTTAATTTTCCATAAACTCGTGATCAGGAGCTGCGACTTGCTGTGTAGCACTAGGGGGCGTTCTGGCTGCCAGGGCCCAAAAATCTTCTGTCCTCACCCCAAAAGCAACAATTGATACCCATATGAAATCTCACAATCATTCAGAAATAAGAGATTTGATTTTTTAAAAATGAACAGACATGTTATCATGAAGACATAATCAGTTTAAAATGTTGCACTTCCAAATTTTGGCCCTTCCTATTTTTCACCTCATTATTCACCAATTTAGCATTAGACAATTATAAACAGTAACAGAGGTTAGCACAAAATTAATTTGTGATAAATATTAAATCAGAATATCTCCTTGGTCATTTCTTACTATACTGATCACAGTTCCTAACTCTACGTCATAAACAATAACATATGTCCACATGAGAAAAAAAATAAAATAACTATTTTGGTATATCCCACCTCTCAAATCTTTCATCAGTTGGCTTATTGATTTTGTTTAAAACACATTAATCAGGACTTTTACTTCTTCAGAACATCACTGAAAGAAATCATGACTTTCCACACTGACCTTTACCCCTTTGAGCTCTGCTCTTACCTTTATGTGCCTGAAGTAACTCCTGTTAACACTTAAGTGAGTTGCCACAGAAGAAACCCAACAGTGGGTGAGACATATCTCTGCTTTTATGTTCATCATGAGCATTTAATTAAGTTTTAAAGTGAAAGCAACTCAACTAATAATGTGAACACATAGAAAGATGCATTTTAAAGTAAGCTTATTGCAACAGTGAAGGTACTGACCAAAGACTAACCATGGTTCTGTGCCCTCATATGTGAATTCAGCATAAGATAGGGTTGTTTAAATCAGAAAGCCACATTTTTAATAAAAATACATACCAGTACCAGGAGCACAGAAAAAAAAAAAACATGGAAAGGAAGTGGCAGTGTAAGTTTGTGAACAACTATGCTGGTCTTTTAAAAAGTATAAATCTGAAATCCCCTCTCATGCCCATCAGCACAAGCTCCAAATTCTATAAAGGTAACTATCTATACATAAAAGACAATTGTAAATATAACTTCAGACTTTATACACCTAAAGTGAAAAGGGCTCCATAAAATGATTCACAGTGCTTACAAACACAGGTGTAGAATGAAGAAAAAAAAAATGGTCTGCAAAAGCCTCTGCAAAATACAAGCCCACTCGTTCTTCCTTTGGTCCCTTTCAGTTTGAGGAGACCTTGACAAATTTGCTTTTATTGGCTCTGAAGAATGGTATAAAACAAAACCAGAAGGTCTGAGTAAAGGAATTTGGTATTTATATGGCAGTGAAATAATGTGAAGCTTCTTAAACACATGTAGTACCTGAAAACAGATGGATTTAGCATCAAGAACTTACACATCCATTACAGTTCAAATTCAAAAGGTATTTATTCAACAGTGTTACTCTGTTACAATTATACTCTATTCTCAAACACTTCAAAATATCACGTGCCTTAAAAATACTATGACAACATAATTGCTAAACTGAAATGTGTTGTGTTTTGAAGGTATGGTCACTTGGCCACAAATACAAATAAGACACAATAAAAAACCATTAAGTGTGTAGCTGAGGGCAGAAAGCAGTTTGGTTTTATCTACCCAGTGCTTTGAAGACTGGGTAGATAAAATAATAAAATAAAATAATACCAATCCCAAGAAATGGGTGAGGAGGATTTTGGATAGGTTGTTTCTCCAGAAAATATTTCTTCTATTCCAGGACAGTTACCTAGATGATCTACTATCCAATAGATACCAATACTCTTCCAAAAATAATTCTTCATGGTTTACTTCAGCCATCCCTGCTTTTCCAGTAACAGTTGTAGGAACAATAGATATTTTTGTTCAATATACGGATAGAAACACTTCAGAGTTATACTGACAGATCAAAAGACAATGGCTGCTGTCCTCTCTGACAGTAGTCTCAGACTGCTTATTTCACAGAAAAATACTGGCACCTAACAATACATGCTTGAAGAAAGAAAGGTGAACAGTTCAGGTAAAAAAAAAAAATCTGAAAAATATATCACTCAAGCATGCATCTCAAATATTAGACTATTTAAAACGTAGGAATGCCCATGAATTGCTCAAGGGGGAAAATTATAAAAATATTCTAACAACCACAATAGACAGAAAAGAAGAACCAAACCACACCACAACTTGAAAAACAGATTAATAGTACATATTTCAGAGGGATTTAAGTGTGCTGTCCCACTGCAGCCTAAGGCAATGTAACTGCAGGTTGTTTAATTTTTGCCCCGTACATTGTGACAATTTCTGCAATTTCCATTTCTGAGCACAAACCTGACAGAACACTAAACTGATCAAAACAAAATCATGAGTTACAACCTAAATATGAAAATGCACTACCTAAAACATTAGGATAGATGCAATTGTGCCTGATTTCCCTCAGTTGTCCATTTTAACACTGATGGCATGTAAGTTAGCAAACCCTACTATGGTAGTGATTTAGAGCCAGGAGTTTTATTATTTGCTTGCACATTCCTTGTGGAATGGAGGAATACATGCAAATGTTTTCCATTCACAACTGTGGTCCACTGCCTAGTAAATTAAACAGCTTGCCATTCTGACTCATGTTCCTCAACTCTTGGTAAGGTTTTTCAAAAGTTAATAGTGTCAGATTTGAAGATTATTTAACAACATTTTAAAAGGACAAACTGTAGCTCCCTTTAGGTAATGATGTGCTCAATATTTACCATAGTAAAGGCTAAAAGATGGAGGTACAGCTGAAGTTCAAAATGAATGCTATCAGAATGAGTGTCTTACAAGTGATCTAGACTCTCAATTTTGAGTGTCAATCACCAAACAAGCCCTGTTATTTGTTAGTTCTGATGATGTCCTAAACTTCAAAAAATGTCTGTTACTTACTTGGCCTTTATCCCACATACCAGAAAAGTTACAAAATATGGGCAAAACAACTGTAGGGTATTTGGACTCAAATTCTAATCTATTCCAAGATGCTCAGTTTAATCTTTCTCATTTCCCTTCTTCTGTTCCTTAGTTACCCTAAAATCAACATCTTTACACTGATAAAGCAAAAAAAAAAAAAAAAAAAAAAAAAAAACCACTTTATTTCCCCCAAAAACAAAAAATTTACCCTAAAAAAAAAAAAAAAAAAAAAAAAAAAAAAAAAAAGCCACTTACTGAAATAGTGATTGTGGAAATGATAATGAATGATAATGGGTAGACAGTCATAACAAAAAAGACCCAGCAAGGCATATTATATAACAAACTATTCAGTGCTTTGATATTTTTAAATTATTAGGTCACTAGCAATTAATGCAAAGCTATCCAGGAGCAAGAGTCAGCACCAAGGAGAACAGAATAAAAAAAACTCATGTCTGAAAGTTAATTGAAGTAGAAATATGTTAGGGCAAGAACATGGGAAGAAAAAGAAATTTTTTTTTCACTAATCAGCTTGAACACAAGCTGAGCTTGAGCAGACAATTTGCAGAATATTTTCTGTGAGTTCAGGTTTAGCAAAGCTAGGCAATAAATTAAACTTAAGAATGTATGCACTGTTTGTGTAGAAAATCATAAAATATTCTCAAGTCATGTCAGGTATTTATGATGCGATGCCTATCAGAAATACTCATGTCAACTCAGCCCTAAAAGTCAAACGCATTTCCAGTGTTAAATAGTGAACTATGTGAGATCAGATCACAAAACTATTGCTTGAAATGAACCTGACATCTGGGGGAACTGCTATGGTATTTTTAATGACATTACACAAATACTAATAAGACTGATAAGGCTGTTCTCATAGCAATTAAATTTTTTCAAAAATGCAGATGCTAAGGTTTTGGTTTTTTAAAAGTATAACCAATTAGAACTTCAGGAAGGTACATTAGTGAAAAAAAAATGCTGTTGGCAACTTTATAATTGGATTGACCCCATGCTCCATTATGACAACACACTCTTATAATTACAGTAATGTCTAAATGAGTACTAAATATTAAGGCTGTAATGAGTCATGTTGTTTTACACATGTTTTTAGCAGAGCACAATGCTAACAGCATCTGATGGCTCAGCTCTTGTTTCCTTTCCAAGAAAAGCAACCCAAACCTCCTCACAGCAACCTGTTCCTGCTTTCCTGTATGGGTCAGGAAAGCAGGCCTCTGTTTCCTCTCCACATGTTGCAACAGGAAGAGCACTACAGAGCTACTTCCTAAAGGAACTCTTCTTGCCCACCCCTTCCTTGACAGCCCTGAAAGAATTATGTGTATTATGTGCGATGGGGGAAGGAGACCCAGACTGCATGTCAGTGCAGGTCACAGTTACAATGCAGCAGATCTCAGAAAGGTGTAAGGTCTGATAAGAAGCGAGTCTTCTCTACTTGCTGTGTCAAATCACCAATAGTTTATCTAAAGGTCTGTGCCCTTGAAGCACAAAAATATATTGTTTTTAAGCATAACTGGAAATACCTTTCTATCAAGAAAAGTTGCCGGCTATGTGACTTTACATGGTGCATGCAGTTATTTTTCCAGTCCCAGAGATAATTAGCACAAGGGCGCTTTGCCAAGCTAAAGCTGAGAGAATATCCTTCACAGCCTTTCTGGGCATTTGTGTCCTTTTCCAATTTTTATGCTGCTGTCACTGGACTCTGGCATTTCTTACCTGATTCATTTGCTTTCTCTGGTAATCATATGCAATGAAGATATGCATGGCCAACATTTAAACAGGCTGCAGATCAATTAGTGGTCTTAAGTTTATCTGATTTTTATCAAAGAAGACAGAGCTTTGGGTCGATTGTCAGAGCCTGTGTCAAGTTGACCTTTTCAGAGACGTCTACATTGCCAGTCCCTTGGGCAACTTGTTGTCCCCTGTTAGTCTCTGAATGGCAGAAGTCTGTTCTGCTCAAGCACAAAGTATACACAGATGTCTATATTACATTCTTATAGGTTTGACAGCAACTGCATGTTGTATCTATAAACTGTCCTTTAGCAGTGACACTTCCTCAATGATGATAAGCTAATTTATGCAACTAAATCTCCTTTGTGCAGAAATGAAAGCTAATTGAGTCATTACAAAGTAATTCAGGAAGGAATACCTTGTATAAATTGGCTTACTTTATAAATCCTTCTCAAGTGGTTTTCATGCATCCTAAGTGGTGCTTAAGCAGTTTTGCTGCCATCACATACCCAGGTAAAAAAAAAAGACAGCTTTACAGAGCTATAAAAACATTATTTTAAAACAGCAAATGGAAGAGAGAAGAAAATAAAGGTAAAAAGAAAGTGCATACACAAAACAAAGAGGAAAGGTTTTAATTACCTGAAACAGTGGTAACTTCCTCCTGGCTCTTATTGCTAGGCACTTCAGCTTTTGAAGAAAGACGTTCTTCTGCAAAACAGATAACTGCAAATGAAATTCTGAAGGGCCACCTCAGCTGACAGGAATTACAGCCCTCATCAGCCTGAAAAACACACTCTGTATTCCCAGACTCTAAGCCTTGTTTACTATTTTGCACTTATACAGAAGTTGGAACATTGTTATTTCTGTGGTTTCCGCCATCCATCCAAACACTCCAAGAGCTTTCTTTCAAAATCTCAGTTGTGAACATCTGTTTCCCTTTTCACTCTGGTCTGAATGCAGCCATATAGAGCTGCAGTTCTGCTGATATTCAGTCATTCTGAGACAATTAGAATGAGGGTCCTCTTCTGCTGCATACATTTATTGCCAGAAAAGGATAAAGAAAAGGAAACCAAGGTGAGAAAAAGTATCCCCAGCCCAAGCAATAACTTGGTTGCAGAGAGCAGTATGCAACAAAGGCAGACGACATCTTACCTTCCTACAGACACTAGCTCAACACCTGCATGATGGGAATGCAGCCACTACAGACACCATGCCCTTCACTGCTCCTGCCCATTGTGCCTGACCATGGTTTTAAACAAGCCAGACTCTATCAAATGACTTAGTGCAAGTTTAGGAGACAAGAAAAGAGAAAACCTGGTAGTGATCAGCTCTAAAGTATGTTTTCTGGCTAGCAGACTTGGAACACTCTGAAATCCCCACAGGCAACTTCGAAAGATGTGCTCCATCCTCCCTGTCTGGCACAGACATTGAACTCTCTCATGTCCAGACCCTCACTTGAGTAAATCCACACTCTACTCAGTGCAGGGACACCAGATCTGCTCCTCACATTTGCCAGTACAGGGATATCAAATCTGCTCCTCGTATTTCCCAGTCAACAATTTCTGTTGATGATGTAAAAAAGGGGAACAAACTTTTAGCTGAATCCTGTCTTTAGGTTCATAGGAAGTAGAAACAAATTTATCTTGGCTTTACAATATATCAAAACTGACAAGGCTGCTGTACTGAATGAGGAAATAGCATATTGATAAACCCACTTCTCAAACATGAATTGGACTTTTAATACATTTAAAGTCTCTGGCTTTGCTACTCATCACATCGTATACAGATAGTCAAGCTTCTTTTTAAGATACACATTTCAGCAACTAGTTTTGATATTTTACTAATGATAGACAACAAATGAAGCACTCAGTGTTTAAAATGTTCCTCATTATGAAACTCTTATGTAACTGCCCATTTACTTTGACAAAGAGTGAATTTTATATCAAAAGTTCAAAGGATTTTTTAACCTTGTAAAAATTTAATCTATCCCACAAGACTGTTCCTGCAAACATTAAAGCAGATGTTTAAAGCACAAGAGTAGACCTGTTGGAATGAGTATGCATAATTGCTGCTAACCTCTATACACAGTCCTACAAATATTACAATTATAACATGAGATTCACTCTACAAAGAACTTTGAAATTCTGCCCTACTAAGCCAGCAGATTTTTTGTTCTCGAATCTTGACTAGTTAAAAATCTGGTAAAGACTAATATAAATTATTTTTTAAGCCAAGGCGGGGTGAAAAAGAACAGAAAAAAGAAGTCCTAGCAATAGAACAGGAGAAATCTGAAGCTGTAGTACACACAAAACACTCTAAACTGTGTACTGCCTTCAGATGTTCAAATGTATTCCCATACTTGGCATTAACATTTGTCACACATTTCCAAGTATGCTCATCTGTTTATTTTAAGAACTCACAATTGGAGCATAAATGGCAAAAATGCATCCTTATGTGCTGTCCAGAGCACTAGGAGGCACTGTCATTCTGTGGGTTCCCATGGTTACACCCCTCACAGGGAGTAATACCCCGGTATCAGTCACATTTTCTAGAATTTCTCCCTTTTCTCTGAAAAAAACCACCTTCATCCAACACACACACTATTATATTATTCTTTCATTAAATAGATGTTGATATTACCTGTTACTGAATGTTTGTACCTAAATCAGTTGCTGTGTTGAATATCCAATGGATTTTAGCTCTATCACTTGTCATGGTCATCAGACTAGTTTAAACTGAGGACTGACTCCAGTAGAGGGTAACTAAAATAAAGCAGCAGCAGAGGTTTGAAGAGACTTTTTTGTAAGGTACTGCTGAATACATGTAAACTGCATTGTGATTTCACAGATCTTTAGAATATATGTATTCTTATGAAATATATATTTCCCAGAAACAAGAGTTGACCAGATCAACATCTGAAGATATGAGTACGTCTGAATCAAAGCCCTGAATTCCAAAAGGTGTCAAATTCAAACAAAAAACTCACCATATTTGCATACTTGTTTGGATCTCAACTATCCCCACTTATCCCACCTTGCTTTACACTACAGAGTTGTCACAGAGAGAACAAAGTTTCAGGTACAATTAGACTGGAAAAGGCACTCCAGGAGCATGGTGGACATGGTTCAGCTGCTAATGGGCATTCAGTTCATGGCATCAGGCTGAAGTGACTGCACAGGAAACCTCCTCTGAAACATGCACAACATCAGATCCTTGGCACAAACCTCTGCTTTATGAACCTGTTGCAAATGGTTCACACTGTTTGCTAATGCAATCATGCTCAGAGTGGAGCAGTTGCAGTAGGCTTGGCTTAGGGTAGTAAAAAAGAACCTGTGGTTCTTAACTCATGTTTTCTGATATTATGGCCTGAAGCAGTAACTGTGTGCAGGCGGTGTCCTTTAAACAGAGCAACCTCGATTACCTGGGGAATTACAGCTGCAGTCTGATGCAACATGCATAACTTTGTGTTGCAACGTGGCACAGAGTCAAAAGATTAAAAATAAATTTAAAAATACAGTAAAAATACTTCTGGGGTTTTTTTTAAGATACTGTGTATAAGGAGTCATGCATATCTTTAAAATAATCTGTTCCAGTTTTTCCTCTGTACATCTTCTTCACACCATTGCTGCAGAGAGAAAATACTCTTTTCCACCTCACTATATCAAAATGAGACTAATCTACACTAACCAAACCAATGAACTCTTACAGAGCTGTAGATCCTAAGAACTCCTGAGATACAGATTATGTTCCGTACTATGCTGATACTTAGAGACCTTAATGGCAAACAACCTACAAAATTCTTGTGACAATGCAACAAGGAACTAACTATATTTGTTAAAGGTTTTCTTCAGTTAGTACATGAAAGTTGTTGAAAATAATTTACTTATTTAATTTGCAGTTTGAAGAAAAAACAGAAAAATAATCACCTATGACCTAGAATCACAAAAGAATCACATATAATTCTACCATCCACAAAATTTTAAAAGTGAACAATGAATTCTACATTTGCTGAGGTTTTCTACATAAATCCATTAAAGGGAGGAAGGAAAAAAGACTGTAATGCTTGAGTATAAAATAGATAAGAGTTTGGCTTGAACAGTGCATTCCTCCAATGGAATGCAGTTTCTCAATGATAAACATGCATAAATTTAGCAGTTTCCTCTACTAACATGTTACTTAACCATCATTTTACATTAGATTCTAATTTAATGCCATTATTATTTGGTATTCTATTGTCTTATAGTTTCTGACACATTGTCATTGCACAATACTAGTTTACACCTTGAATAATCCCAGTTTGTGAGTTAATATATTCTATTCAATGCTTTGATTACAGTAAACAAAACCAGCTCAGCTATGCAGCAAAATCTACCAAACCACACAGATGGTTATAAGCTTTTCATTGTGTGGTTTCCATAGCAATCATATTGCAAATCTGGAAGCTTCTTGCAAATAAGCAGCTTGTATTTACATGCCTCTCGGCTGCAGCAAGGAACACAACAAGTGAAGTTATTATTCCTATCACATATTGTTAGCAACATGACTGGAAGATGTTTTGATCAGTTTAGATAAAAAGTACTGCAGTGAACTAATTTTTCATCTATTTCATAATGATAGAAGCAATCACACACTTGTAATGCACATTATGTCTCTTCATTTGAAATCTCACTGCAATGTCAGAAGGTTATAAGCATACAAAAAAAGTCTTGTAAGATAGACCCCCCACAAAAAAAAATATTATTATTAAATCAATTTTTAAAACTACACAGTGTCTTTACTGTTGTACTTGGCAGGAAGGACAGATGCATGCAAAAAAAACAGGTGTGTACATGAACTCTGCTGACACTGACTATAACAGGTTTACACTGTTCTGTCCAAGAAAATATAAAAGAAATAATGGCATATTAACACCAACAGTATTACTCCTCCACACTGCTTTTTTGCTGCCAAATAATGACTCCACACAAATGCAAACAAGAACTTTCAAACCCAAATAAATGCTTACCAAGGGAAAGAGTCAAGACCTTTTCTCTCCACAATTTAGTTTTATGAATTGACCCACCCCCCATAAAAGATGGATTATTACTCTAATAAGGAACATAAATCAATCAAGCTACATAATTTTTCTTTTTAAATTAGCAAGAATTGGCTTTTTAAAAACAAGAGTATATGTTCAGCATTTAATATTTCCAGAGAAGCAGCAATACATGCACAAAATTTAAGAAGAAGATGGTTTGGCCAAACTGACATCTTCTGCTAGCATTTGTGGTGAGGGCTAGTGACCATCTGGGTCAAAGGAATAAGTATTAATGTCCTGTTTTATGCAGGGCCAGCAAATTGCTTTACCTGAGGTCAGTGCTCTCCAGCCTTGGGGATGGGGTCCTCTGCAGCATTCTCACCTGTACAGGCCTGTACACTTCACCCAAACTCTTAGAGTGTTTTAGCCTAAGCAGCTTCATAGATAATCTAGTAGGCTTACTTGCCTTGGTGTGTGTATTTTTAATGGCAAGGATTTTCATTTCTGGTATCTTCTTTCAGACTCCAGATTCACCCATTATATATGAGAGAGATCTCTCTGTACGAAGAGATCTTCAAATGCAATTAGCAGAACTCCAACTTTGATAATCCTCCAATATTCCCAAAGATCTGTGCCTTTCCCCCAGCTCCTCTGGGACATGGCAGTTTACTGGAAGATTTACACAAAGCTT